GCAGAAGGCTAGCTAGAGGTTGCAGAAGGCTAGCTAGAGGTTGCAGAAGGCTAGCTAGAGGTTGCAGAAGGCTAGCTAGAAGCCAAAATAGAGCAAGTATTCTGAAGCAGAAGAGAACAAAGTTTTTGAAGGACTGAAGAGATTTTTATTAATAAATAAAAAACGGGGGTTATAGCGTGTTTGTGTACGATCTCTGAAACACTAAAATGTTACTTAGGACGTGTTTTTCCAGTAGCTGTCAGCTGTGAGTCATGCATTGCCAGTATGATGTGATGAGTCACCGATGATTCAACTCACCCCATGACTCAGGGTTTCTCTTCCCAGCACTTTAGGACAAAACTATTAGCTTCTAAAAGAAAACGAGCCGAAGCAGGAGCTTGATCAGCAACATTTATACAGTTGTTTTTAAACTGGTGTTGGTAAACTGGCAGGTACAGTTGTGCTGTATGAACCCTGCTGTGAAATCAGCTAAAACATGACAAATTGAGTTGTTTTGCTTGAACGCAGGATTGTAACTGAGACTAAAAATCAACGCACTCTCTTTTTATGGCCTCTGACACTTGTACAGCTTTTTCTGCTGTAAAGGCTCCAAGAAAGACCAGATCATCTGTTTATATATTTGATCATTCACGTCATGTGACCTCTCTGTTGGTGTCTAATGAGCACATTTGTCCTCTTCAGTTCAGGCCCCATGCTTCCTGCTACTACCCCCACCTGTGCGAAATGATGCAGTTCGACTTGATCCCGGAGCTGCGAGCCGTCCTCAGGCGCTTCTTCCTGCGCATCGGCTCCGTCTTCCACATCGCAGCTCCCGACGGAGGCCCCACCCGGACTCCCGTCTCCTAGTGGGCGTTGAAGCGGGGACATGTGGACACGTAGAGGATGAGAAGATCCAACTTGGACTCGATACTTGAGGAACTTTCCTCCCCTGTTACTGGATCTGATTACAGAAGGGGTTACGAAAAGACTGTAGCTGTTTTTGTCTCTGTTCAGGACTCTGCGTTACTCTCCCTCCTCTCCGTTTGTTTTTTCATCGCTGGGATGAACAGCACTGTGACTGGCACTTCCTGCTGACTGTTGTCTTTCATCCCACATCCCACTGGAGAAAACAACTGCGCTCTAAAGAAGTACTGTAATTTATTGTTGCAAATTCACTCCTTGATTTAATGTTTTATTTTTCTGATCCCGTTTCTTTTTTTTTTTAGCGCTTTAAAAGAACATCTACATGCTAAGGGCAAATAAAATTTAATTTAACAAACTTTCTGTGGACAAAAAGAGGCTTTTGGCTCACTGTTGGCAACAGATGATCCAAGTGTTGTGTGTTTCAGTTGTTGCCTCTGTTGGAAACTCAAACTTTAAGCTGCTTTATAGCGACACCTCTCTGTGGCACAAACCGTCCCGGTATGTTCGATGGGTCTCATTTAGATTTTACTCAATTAGTTTTTTTGCTTTAATTTGTTATTACTGCTTCAGATCTATGGATGGCTTCTTCTTTTCTGCATTCCCACTTACTGGGGTCGGCTCCTGATTATAAAACTGCAGTCATCTCGTACAAATCCATCAGTCGTAAGATTCCATTCACGCCCGTTTGACATTTTGCGTGTTTATCACAACCTAAAAATGCTTTTGTCCGTGCTGACTCACTTTAAAGTAACAGTTTTACAAGAAGCTCCAGGAACATCAACTCTCTGCATCCTGAATTGTTTGAATTGTATTCCACACTTTTGTTTTTCTTTAAAAAAAAAGAAGGATGTATGTAATTATTTAAAGTGCATTTAAATATTTTTTGAAAAGCATTCCTTCCCTTGCAACTGTGGATGTCTACTTTTCTTTCCCTCAAACTGGAGGGAAGTATATAAATATATAAATATAATATACAGTAAATGAGAAAGTACAGACTGTAAAGTTTTCCATGTAAGATACATAAAATGAAAGTGCTCTATGGTTCTTTACATAATATTGTGATGTAATCTTCCAAACATTTGGTGAAGTAATCAATAAATCTGAATTCTGGTCTGTTGCAGTCATTGAATGCATCAGTGATTGAAGGAGATGACTTAAGTAAACTGACCTTTTTTATTGTTTAAGTAGGTTTTCTTGTAATATTTGCCATTTTTATTGATTGTGATCAAATGGTACCAAGTATTCTGCAGCAAAACTGCCAGCAGACCAGAGTGACTGAAGAAAACCACTAATGTAAGGAGGATGTTACAGTGTTTATACTGGTCACCACTGGTCATTCGTAAAGACGGGTCACAATTTTAATCTGCCAGTGTTTTGCTTGTAAAAATTCAAATGACTGAATATCTTCATGTAAAGCCGATGGAGTTGTGATCTGAAGTTTCCACCAAGATGAATGTGTTTGGGGGCTTGAATTTATTTAAACCGTTCTTTTTCCAGGATGAAGTGTTTTTAGGTGCACAAATTCAATGGCCTTTAAAAACAAACTGGGTGCTTAAGTTTGAATTTGATTTTCTATCATCTCAACTGCTTTTTTTTTTGGGGGGGGGGGGTATCAATAAGCTTTTGGTATAATTTACGCTGATATTTTGTGTAACGCTCTTCTTGGCAGAACTGGTAGTTTATTTAAATTGGTTTGTTTCCTGTCAGCTTTAAATTCATCAATTATCTTTTCCCCGCTTGTTCCGTTTTTGGGTCACGGGGGTCGCCGGTGCCCATGTCCAGCAATCACTGCAAGGGTGCAGGGGACACCCTCACCCTCACACCCACCCACCCACCTAGGGACAATTTAGAGTTACCAATCAGTCTAACATGCATGTTTTTGGACTGTGGGAGGAAACCGGAGTACCCGGAGAAAACCCACGCATGCACGGAGAGAACATGCAAACCACCCAGAAAGGCACCCGGACCGGGTTTTGAACCGTGGACCTGCTCGCTGAGAGGCAGCAGCTCTACCAGTTGCACCACCGTGCTGGTGCTGCCCAGCTTTAAATCATAATCCACAAATGTTCTGGTCGTTCCAGATGTTTGATGTCGGTGAGTTTCATCCAGTACAAAACCAGTTCTGAGAACTGTTTGGGATCATTGTCCTTATGTTGATTTCAGATGAACTTGACGAATTTGGAAGTTGTCTTTCGTTCACTTGTATCATTCAGCAACACCGTAGCATGATGCTACCACCACCGTGCTTAGTGTTACTAACCGTCTTGTAAAAAACTGAATCATCCCGTATTTACTTTATCCCGTATTATAGTGAGACTCTAAAAACATGTCCAAGTCGATAGTAACTGATGCACAAGTAGGTAACTACAGATTAATGAGTTCCCAAAGAAGGCGTATCTCAAGGACCCCACCTGATTGGACGAAAGAACTTCCGGTTACATTTCAAAATAAGAGCAGCATAAATAAGCAGAGCCATATAAAGGTATGGCGCTGTAAATGGGTCGTGGGGAAGGCTAAATGTTTTTGAATACCTGGCCATAACATTAAAAAACAAAATCAGTTTTGGTTGTTGAATATTGTGAAAATAGTTTAAATCAATTCACAAAGAAAGAAAAATAAAGTAACCAAAATAATAATAACAGACTGATGAAGTCTTTCAGATGAAAGACGAAACGTTTCTACTTTTTTGTTGTTTTGTTTATTGAATGTCCAGAGGACCAGACTTAACTTTTTTAGATAACAAAAATAATGATACTTAAACTGCCTTTGGGACAAAGTTTCCTTTAACTTCACATTTTCTTGTTCAACCTTTTAAATCAGTCACTGCAGATGAGTGATTGTCAGTTTCTGTAAGATTTCTGCAACTGGAGCAGGTAGTCTGTTTACTGGTTAACTTCCTCAGCTGTCTCACATTTTAAGGGTCAACCCTACTCCATGTTTCAGCTCCTTTCATAGATCAGGTCTCATAGAAGAACTTCTAAAGAGCAAATATTGTTTTTAGCGTTTGTTTTGGGCCGTTATCTCGTTACAGGACTCATGATCTTTAATTGAGACCAGACTTTTTGACAGATATGGGAGCAGGTTTTACTTCAGATGCTTCATATCTCATTGTACCAAGACCACAATCAAGCCAACCTGTGTCAGGTGCAGCTACAAGAACAAAAATGAATCTTCTTGTGTGTGAAAGCAGATATAGCGCTGTTTAGAAACCTTCAATTTAAAAAAAGAGCATCTGGAGGTGTAGATGTCTGTGATGGTGGGGAGACTGACTCCAACATCTTCTGTGCAGCCTTCACCACTCTCTGCAAAGCTTTTCTTTCTGCAGCTGTGCAGCCTCCATGCCACACGTTGATGCTGGAGCACAGGATGCTCTCCACTGCACACCTGTAGAAGGAGGTGAGGACTGAGCTTCCCAGACCAGCTCGTCTCAGCCGCCTGACAAAGTAGAGTCTCTGATGAGCTTTCTTGATCAAACTGGTGTTGTTGCTCCAGCTGAGGTCATTCAGGTGCACACCTAAGTACTTGTAGCTGGAGACCACGTCCACCGCACATCCTCTTTATGTTCAGGTGTGTTCGTTCCGTCTGAAGTCCACGACCATCTCCTTTTAATGTGTGAAAGTGCAGTGAATGTGAGCATTAAAGGCCAAAGATATATTTTGCATTGTGATAAACAAGTAGCATTAAAAAATGAATACATAAAATAGATAACTAAATAAACAATGCACAAATGAATTTATATAGTGTTGCCTATGTTTATGATTATATCCAGCTGTTGTATCCTTTGTCCTCAGCATCCCATCTTCCACTGGATTTGAGGAAAGGATTGTCTCTCTCATGAAAAATTAGTGGACTGATGTGTGAAACAAATGTTCTTCTGAGCTAATTAATTGTCAGTCTAAATTATGAAATGTCTTGCTCGGAGTTTTACTCTTAGGCTCTGAAAAACAAACCAGTCCTTACTGTGGCACGAGCTCTACAGAAATACAAATGGAAGAAATGGGTCGACTCCACATGATGGAGCATTGCCCTTTTTAGTTTATTTTTTTAACTACAGGTGGAAAGTCATGGCTTTTGAGGCACAATGTGTTTGTTACAAACTATGTTTACACTAAATGCATTATAACACAAATGTTCTTATTGTTTTCTGTTAATACCGTTTTAAGCGAAGCAGAACAGAAGAATATTAAAGAAAAATTAATTGATTTTCGAAAGATTTTACTGTCATTCTATTTGCACTCAAAATAAATTGTTGAATTGTATAATAATTAACATTCTATGCATATTTTTATCATTCAAAAACATGCATTCAATTGAATTCAGGTTCATTTTAGAGCTAGAAAAGCAGAGGGGGAGGGAGGGGTGAATCATCACACTGGTAGGGGTGAAGGTAATGGGGTCGACCAGCCCTGAGGTGTCTCTTGAAGGAGTTGGCAACCCTATTCACATCTGGTATAAATAGTTTAGGTTTGACAGCTTTCTTCTGCAACATAAAACATAAACTTTACCATGTGACCCTTAAAGACTTAAAAAGTGGTTTGATCTCGAGCAATTAAGTGCATTAATTTAATTAACTGTAACATCCTAATGAGACAGGGTGGTGCTACGCTTGGATATAAATCATAAAGAAGAAAAAAATCTTTAAAATGTATGATTAAACTGTGAAAGAATGTTTTAAAATCCAGTTGTAGACGATGGAGTTTCGCTTTGTGTCCACAGGGTGGCGCTGTGGTCAAACTGACCGCGCGAAGCGCTGCGCGCGACTCTTCGGGGTCTAACAAAGGTTACTATGGAGACCTCTCACCTTTTTGTTCCAACTTAAGAAGAAAGATGCTGCTACGTTCATCCCTGCGATGAAAGCGCTAGCAGTAAAGCAGTAAGTAAACGGCGTTTAACTGTTAACTAGAGCGATTCACGACCAGCTCAAGGCTTTTTTTTTTTTTTTTTAACCGAACTCGCCTTTTTCGTTAGTTCCTTGGTTTATGCTTGTATTAGCTGTGAGCTAACGCTAACTGACTTCCGGTTTTAACCGATAAAATAAAGTTGCGCTTCATTCGGCCGGACTGAGCCGTGATGGTACGTAAAGGACGTAAAGGTGGGCGGGCTAGTCGGTTTCTTTCAGCGTTAGCCTCGCAGGCTAGCATGAATGTCGGGTTGGAAAGTGTAACGCCGCAAAGACATGACTGAAGAAGACCGTCCTACAAGTAAGAGGTTCAGCCGAGTGTTTGGACGAACGCGGTTCCGATGCTCGTGCGTTAATGACGCCGTGAAAATTGTGTATGTAGTGACCGCAGTAATCTGTTAATCTGGGGCTTGCTTTTCCTCCTACAGCAAAGGTTTTTTTGGTTGGGGGGGGGGGCGACACTTTTAGTTTCGTTTCACACACGATTTTTCTTTCTGCCTTTTTTTTTATTTTTATTTTTTATGGATTTTTACAAATGTTTTAACGTTAATGGAACCCCCATTAAAGCTCGCAGTGTTGCAGTGAGCCTCCGGACTGACAGGCGGCCTCGTATCGTTAGCTAAGCTGCATCTTTATTGCGCTTCAGTTTTTTTTATTTATTATTAAGATCGTATGTGGTGTAACCCGTTTATAGCTGGAACAGGGTGGTGTTGCGAAGAGTGTATTTATTTGTACGTGGCGTAATTTAAGGTCCTACTCCCAGTATTTATGTCAGGAGAATGGAATGATCCGATGGTGTGTTCAGGGTCTCCTCCGCTTCCCTTTTATGAAAAACATTTCGATAGAACGTGCGTGTTAAACCTCACTATCTAAATATATATAGATTTACTTTTGTTGTTCAGTTAAAATGAGAACATTTTAAATATTTTTTATTTCATATAATCGGCGGAAATCACGAGGCAGTTCTGTCCGGTTTAAAGAGCTCTGCTGGCAGCGTCGCGTGCGTCACGTTGTAGGGGGCGGGGTTTAAAGGAAGCACGTAGGACACGCATTGTTACTAACCTGGTCACAATGTGGTTAACTTAACCAGATAGCGCTTTGACAGTTTTTTGGACACGAAGAACACCACGCTGACTGAAGTTGGAGCTTTTCCCACAGAGACTATTGTTCTTTTTTAAACCAGTTCTGGTAAGACGTTTTCATCTGTATTTATCTACAGTGCAGAGGGCGTGTTGTAGTTAATGTTTAATCTAGAGATTCGATTCAAAGTCCTGACTCAGAAAAGTTTAATCGTTTTTATGTTTGGATTACAGTCCAGATTCCACCCTGATAAACAGGCGTGCACGCTGGTGTGATTTTTTTTTTATTGGCTGTAATATCTGCGCCAGTGTGTTTTAAAACAAAATGCTGCGTTCAGGCGTCGTTTGTTTTGTTAATGGAGGGCTGCTGTGTTTACATCGTGTTGAGCTTTAAAAAAAAGAGAGAAATCCGAGCCACGTGTTGGTGGCATGGGACCATGTGGCCTATGTAAACACTGCGTCTGATTATATGTCCTTTGCAATGAATTATGAGTAAATTGTGCGCAAGATGTGTATTTTCAGAAAACGTTTTTGGACATTTTTTGCTAAGTTAGGACCATTTGCAGGAAGTTCCTATGATTTATCTGACGCTAATTATTAGTCCCGTTTACTTACCAACTTAAATGTCAGCGTTATTACAGGAAAGGTCATGTTTCCACATGTTAACTGTTAGACTTTTAGTTATGTTCCTCTCACATCTTTTTGTGTTTATACGCAAGCTAAAACGAAAGCAGGAAATGAGGAAAGGTTTGTGGAAGTCAAACAGAGATTTCTATTATTTATTTGACCTGCACTAAATTAAATAGTTTCATGATATCTAAAGGAGCATTTAAAGTTGTAAAGTGTTGTCTCCTTCTGCAGCTGCATTTTAAAATAGGTTGCATTAGTGCAGCAGCTATTCTTGTCACTGTGTCACAGCAACAATACAGCTAATAATGCATATAATATAGAGCTGTTTTCTCATAAATGCGTTTTTTAAGCTAACATTGATTTGATCATTTGTGTTTTGTTTGTCATTTTACATAAAATCTTGAACAATTTGCTACAATACTTGTTTTTCTATAGAAACCCTAAAACAATAGAAACATTGGTACATTCAAAAGTCTGAAAGCTTCACATTTTTCCATTCTTCTATACATTCATTATCTTTACCCGCTTCTTTCTTTTTTTGGGTCGCGGGGGTCACTGGAGTCACTGTGGGAGAGGCCAGGGACACCCTGGACAGGTCTCAAGCGCATCGCAGAGATAAACGAGACAAACAAGCATTCACTCTCACTCACACCTGGGGACAATTTAGAGTTGCCAATTAGCTTAAAAACATTTTTAGGTTAGTTTTTAGTCTGTGGGAGGAAACCAGAGTACCTGGAGACAACCCACGCATCTAGAGAACATGCAAACCACCCAGAAAGGGCCCCGGCCGGGATTTGATCCGGTGACCTTCTTACTGAGAGGCGGCAGCTTTACTAAACTGTCACGCTTTTTCCATTCTTGTTGGAAAATTTAATCAGAATCGAGCCCAAAGTAGCTAATGATCTCACGTTGAACATCAAGTGTTTAGGCAGCTTAACATTAAACAGTAAAGGTACTCCCTGCAAACTATAAAATTAAACATAAGAAAAACGTCTCAAAGGATGCAGTTTGAAATTGTTAACTTTAGTAGATTTCGCATATATGAAGTTCTGTAATGTGGGTCCACATTCAATACAAACAAAGCCTTTTTCTCTGCATACCTTACTCGATGACTCAGAGTAAACATTACCTCAGAAATGTTGGACTTTTCCATCCTAATCTGCTCTTCCATGGATGTTGCTGTTGTCTCTGGTTGTTTCCATAGTAAACAAATTTATGTGGTAGTTTTTCATTGTCCACAACCCTTAATTGCAATTTTTTAAGAACTAATTGATATGCAATAAAAAAAAATACTAAAAACAATTTGGCAAGTGTTAAAAGCATTTTATGCACTTTTAAGGACAAAAACTCAATTGGCCGAGTAATTTAATTTTGATCTGGCTTTAAACAATAAAGTTAAAATTTATAATTAAAAGGAAAAACATTGATTTTTAACACTTAGGCACACCTGAACCACATTGTGTCAGATCTAAAAAAAAAAGTTAAGTCTGTTCCTCTGGACATTCAAAAAAGCAAACAAAAAAAAGTAGAAACGTTTTGTCTTTAATCCGAAAGACTTCTTCCTGTTTCTGTTTTTTGTTCGTTTTTGTTTTTTGAGTGTCCAGAGGACCAGCCTTGACTTTTTTTTTTAGATTTTTCTACCTGGATTATTGAGCATGCATCAGGATGGATTGTGTCAGACTTTATTAAAGCAAACTGGAGCTGTGACATGAGACCATGACAGTGATATGTAAAATTTGTCACACCACATGTCACATGATGAGGCGTAAATGCTGGAGATAACGAAGGACAGTCCCTTATGTGGGCAGTTTGAATGAGAAGTGATTGAGTTGAAGATTACCGACATCATGGAGCTTAGATAAACAAGGTGTCCTAAATGCTCTAACTGGAGGTCAGAGGTCGCTGATAACTATAGCAACTGTCTGCGTGGATCACCAGGCCGCACGGCGTCTGATCTCTCTTCACCTTCCTCGCACCATCTCGCCCTCTGTTTCTCCAACACACATTTACTAAACTATTGCCTCATTAATACATCACCATCTGCTCCATATGTAACGGACCAATTAGAGATGCTCTTTGACCCCACCTGTCCAACTTTCATTTGAAAGTCCGTAGCTGTCCCCAAACACCCCCCACATCCCCTTTCGCCTGCTCACATGATTGTCTACGGTTAGGCTATCCAGACTCTGACCCCTCATTTTTATCTCTCTGCAGGGCCTGAGCTGATTTGTCAGCCTTGCGTAGGTTTGATTATCACTCTCCAAGTGTCCTGTGGCTATCAGCTGACCATGGTGGTCTGAGCAGAAGAAACGCAGGAGGAAGCACAGCAAGGATTGACCGAGAAAGGAGCAAAGAGACAGATCAAAGCCGAGAGAGAGAGAGAAGGATATTTAAGGACAAAATGTCTCAAAACAAAGAACTAGTGCTTTTCTATATTAGGTATAAACTGTCACAGAGAAACTATCCACTCATCCACATACTCGGTGATCCTCCGAACAGGACTGGTGGGGACGCAGGGTTGGGGGACGCAGAGAGGACAGAGACACACGCCAACGGGACTTTTAATGGGACAAGTCCTGGGACACCGCCAGCGTCTCCGCTGCGGCAGCAACCGTTGCCGATGGCGGCGAACATGGACAAAGTGAAAGAAGCGCTACGGGACACGGCCAACGAGTTCGAGCTGCGGTACGCCCGCGCGTTCAGCGACCTTCACAGCCAGCTGCACATCACACCCGCCACCGCCTACCAAAGCTTTGAGAATGTGATGGACGAGGTGTTCCGGGACGGCGTCAACTGGGGCCGCATCGTGGGTCTGTTTGCGTTTGGTGGAGCGCTGTGTGTCGAGTGCGTCGAGAAGGAGATGAGTCCCCTGGTGGGCAGGATTGTGGAGTGGATGACCGTGTACCTGGACAACCACATTCAGCCTTGGATTCAGAGTCAAGGGGGATGGGTGAGTGTAAAAACACTCACGCACACAGTAACTGTACTGTCATGCTGTTTGTTTGTACTGAGACACACACAGAGGTGCCTTTAATACTGCTGGTTTGGTTACATGGGCAGGCTAAGCTCAAATTTTCTGCACAGAAAATGTTTACATGTCTGCTGGCAGCACTCAGCAGGAAGTAAGAGAAATAAATCTTTTTTTCTTATCCTTCAAAACTAGTTATATTTATTTTGTTTACATATTTTGTAACACCTTGAGCTGCACGTTGTGTTTCATCCACTGAAAAAGAAATGCACTGGTGAGATTTGTAGATGCCATCTTGCTAGGTGCTACACCTGTATGCACTCATTACATGTCAAAGCCACACGTTAGCACATTGTGAATGCTGGGTCATCAGTAAAAAAAGAAGCATAAAATAGAGGGAGGAGAGAATTTGAGAGAGGAGTAAAGGAATCCATCTTCGTGAAGAGAACCTGCCCATCGTTAAATGGGGTCAGTGGTCTCCGTGTTCAACCATCACCCTCTTACGATGCTGTTATTGCAAGTATCACTCAGCCCTCTGTGAATAACAAGTGGCCATCAGGGCACCAACGACCAATTGTTAGGGCTCTAACGATCGGTGATTAGGCTGATGGTTCTCCTTTTGTATGTAAACTAGCTTTGTCTGTCACCAGCAAACTGGTTGATCCACTATGATAAGGTGCTCTTTAGGATAGTTTATTGCAGCTCCTCAGCCTGAACAAGTCTTTTGGATAAAAGACAAAACGTTTGACCAAGAAGAATTCGTCCGGAGGACTTGACTTAACTTTGTTAGATCTTTCTACCTGAGACATTTTGTCTTTTTTCCAAAATACTTCTCCAGTCTGAGGCACAGCAACAATACTCTGTCTTATAAGCAGCACCTTCTCACAATGGATCAACCAGTTTGCTGCTGACAGCCAGAACTGGCTATTCCCATGTAAAAGGAGGAGCATCAGCCTAACAGTTGATTGTTAGAGCCCTAACTATTGTTCGTTGGTGCCCTCATCACACCTGTCCGTGCAATGACAATAAAGCTGATCCTGATGGCTGCTTACTATTCACAGAGGGCTGAGTGATACTAGCAATAACAGCATTGTAAGAGGGGGACAGTTGAATACGGAGATCCCCTCCTACCAAGCCTGGTCATGTATTACAATCTGCAAAATGCCAACTTGATTTGCTACTGTCCCAGTACCATCAACCATGTGGCCTGCACTCATGGATCAAGTATTAGGTTTTTAACTAATTAAACTTTCAAAAACTGTCGGTTCTAATTATCTGGTTTTCAGCTTGGTGATAAAATTTACCAAGTGTTGTAATCGTATAGCTAGATCAGTTCACTTAAATTAAGTTCTTTACATGCCTTACTTGGTCTAATCATAACTCTACTACCAATATCTGTAGTGTAGTTAATTACACTTCAAAGAATAACTTCTATAATGTAGTCTTTTATCATAATTCTGGTAATATTTATACTCTATAGAATATGTACTTAAATATTTAGACATATATTTGAGCGTTTCTCTACCCTTTATGCTAATTTCTTTTTTTTAACATGTTTATTTTGTCTATAGGTGAAGTGTAGGTCTATAGCAGATGACAACAAAGTCCATGCTCAATAATCCAGGTATACAATCCAACATTTTTCAGTCGGGTCATCTGGACAGTTTCTTTTTTTTGTGCTGAAACGTTTTGCCTTCGATCCGGAAGGCTTCATCATTCAAGGAAACAACAAAACTGATTCTTCCCCAAACAGCTTACTCCAAAGTACCATCCTATTGCAGATATTTTTTAATTTATAAAAACAAAATCGCAGCAAAATCTAAGAAGTTCCAAGTTTTTAATGTGTAATATGACACAATACTTGCCTAAGAAACGTAATACCACCTTCTCTGAAGTGCAGTTGCTGATGATTATAAAAACTAAAGACAAAGCATTGGGCTTCTTGCGTGAGTTTGGGTTTGACTCCTTGGAGCTGCCGTGCTGGCAGTAAATAAGGACGAGACATACCTTCTACCAACATCAAAGCCATTGTGGTTGACCATTTATTTCAGTGTTTCTATTTCAGACCTCCTTGAACATGTTAACGTCCCACATGCATCATGTGTTGTGGGTCTTTGTCTCATGTCAGTAAAAGATTATTTAGCTCTGTGACCAGCAGATGAGAAAATACTTCAGATTAAATCTAATGATGGAGAATAACATACAGGAGAAGTCTGCACATGTTGTAAAAGAACGTCTGCGTTTATAACGAGTAAAAAACCCAGAATGTTTGCGTGGTCAGCAGCTGCTTCAGCTGTCCACTAATTGATCAGCAGCTGGTAGTTCAATGAACTGAATCGAACTGGGGGCTTAACGGCCTTTTCCTGGGCTTTGTAGCTCTCTTTCAGCCCACCTGCCTTGGTGATCGAAGTTCTCATCACAGAGTGGATCAAGTCCAGGGCTTTTACAGAAAGTCCTTTGTTTTACTCTGTTCCCTTGATTGGCTCTGTGCTTTGTGCTTCCACTCCCTCAGCGTCTGACCAGTTTTATCAGTACATTTTTTTATCTGTTGTTTTCTTCACCAAGGCAGCTGCATGCACATGAAAGCTGTATTCTCTTTTCTGAATTTAGTTGCAAAGTGGTCCATCCTGGTACAGTATGCAGTGTTGTTGTGTGCTTGTGAGTCAGTGTGCTCGTGTTCACTGCCGGGACGGTTCAGGTCAGCTGTTTTTGTTGCTGTGACCGTTTGATTTCACAATGTAGAGCGACAGGGCAGAAGCTGTTTATTTTCACCCCAGCAATGGACAATACCAGGTCGAAGGTCGGTCCTATGGAAACTGCCATCCCTGTGCCTGGAAGCGTTTTTAGGCAGATTGAGGCTTTGCTGTTGCCCGTTCTGTTGATTTTACTCATTTATTTCACAGTTTGATTAAAAGTTTTAACAGACAGGCTTAGCAAACAACTGTCCGAATATAATTCGTTACAGTAAAAAAAACAAATAAATAAAAATACAAATGTTGAGTGTCTCCGCAGTCGGTTTCGCTGCTCTTGTGGGCAGATGACATCGTCTCGAGCGCATGATGCCACTTCTGTCCTCACTGAGCTGTGCATAAGATGTTTATTGTCATGCTTTAGAGATTCGTTTGTTGAAGAGTGGAAGGGTAAAGAGCTCTCTAGTCTGATAACAATCCTGTTTAAGTTGTCCAAAAAGCTGGAACTTTTAGAATGGCAGTGAAACTAAACGTCAGAAGGGATTTTACTGCCGTTGCTTTCACCGTTTCTCATGGCTTTACTGTTTTTCCCCTCTTTGTCACTGTGGCTTACCAGTTCAAACCCAACCCACACTTTCTCTGAAACATGGCAGTCTCTCAGTAAACCCACACGAGACTTTGTAGAGTTTTTTTTTCTTGTCTTTTATTTCCCTCTTCCTTTTTCGTCTCCCCCGATGCCTCCTCGCAGGAATAAAGTCAAAGCCGTTGGCAGATGTGGGTATAGCTGTGAAGCAGGTATTTGCTGATGAAATATTAGTTTGCTTTAAGCAGCAGCGAGGTCTTTTATTATTGTTTCACTCAACTAGGAGTCTCATTTTATTAATGCAATTAAAATTCTAGTTATTTTATGGAAATATTTCAGGAAAAGTAAGGGGGGGATACATTCTAAAAATTGAAAACTAGATTTTAATGTTTTTTATGTATGTTTCAAAGCAAAATGACAGTTTTCAGTGTTGACATAATAATGTGGTAAACTATTTTTGTAGTCAGTGGTGAAATAACCAGCGTTGGTCTTTTCTAACAAGACCCAATGTTTTTGTTTCAGTTTTTAACTGAAAAAAATATTATTTTGAATATAAAATAGTTGTGTAGAACATTGCGACTGAGAGCAGCTCTTTTCCTGTGCTGCCTTTTTATTTTTATATATATTTTTTTTGTTCAAAACCCCTCCAAAATTCAAGAGACGGGCACTCTGAAAAGGAGAAATATTCAGTTTGGGAGGTAAATATTGAAAAGTGAAAGGTGTTTTGCACAACAGAGAGAACCTCGCTGTCATAAAAAACTGGAAGCCTCAGCTTAAATGATCCCGCCGGAGCTTATTTTGGAGCCTTCACTGTCCAGGGTGCTGATATATTGGATCGTAGCTAAGGGTGTGAGATGAATGCACTCAGCCAGGTTCTCCCACTTCAGCTTGTGGTTTGAAAAGAACTGAAGTAAAACCGTACATCGTCGGATAATAAACCTCCTTGGCAGACAGCAGCGGTACAGACAGTGCATCGACCTAATAATGCCGTTTCCACCAGAGGAGGCGATGGCAGTGATTACTCAGTGGAGATTTAGCTGCCTCAGGGTGGGGGTATGGGGTTATTACCAATTATAGATGAATAATATCTGAACCTGCTACTGGGGAAAACAACGTTTTTTTCCTCTCGCTGACAGACTAATAAAGGCTAAACTCGTTTAGACGTACAACGTTGCCGTGGTCAGGGATGCTTGGCTGGAGCTTTATGGGTATGAGGAGGGGTTTCAGTGGAAAAACGAGGGGAAAAAGATATCATTAGTTCAGTCGTTGTGCTTTGTGCTTGCAGTGGTTTCAGAAAGGTCAGGGAAAGTTGGCTTCAAGAGGATTGTGTTCTCCGTTGTGGCTCGGATTTCTTTCTCGTGGACGCAGCGCATGATGTTTCGCAAATAAGGATTTAAATGAAAGGATCTCGTTGCAAAATGTGAAATCAAACACATAAAAATGCTATTTTGATCTACATCAAATGGTGCGGTTTTACTTTAATAGTCCAACATTTTTCAGTCGGGTCATCTGAAAGAAACTGTCCAATGACCTGATTAAAAAATGTTGGATTGTATACCTGGATTATTGAGCATGGACTTTGTTGTTTACTTTAATAGGTTTCCTCGTATACTGATATAGTATATATTTTAATCTCTAATCAACAAATCTGAGCTTAAAAACGTACCAATGCATCAACGTTTTCAGTCACTTTGGCTGTTACAGGTAAA